TGATTTCTAGGAGGACTCGTATAAGGAGAGTTGGAATCCTACTAGGATTGTGCCAAGCAGAATCTATAAAAGCTCATAGCAGGACCTATGTACAGGTATCATAATTTATGCTCTCAAAAACATAGAGCTTTTTGTCTATTGTCTATTTGCTGACTTAGGCATCGAGAGATATCCGGCACACACCCGCCGGCTAGCTCACGTTTGTGTTTTTAGGTAGCAAAGTGACGACGTTTGGAGGAGTGCAAACTTGATCAACAAGATTATACGAGAAGATTATTTTCGTGCTCGTATAATTGGCGCCGTGTGTAGGAATACAACAGAGAACAAACCTTTTGATTTAAGTGTTCCTTCAATCAATGTCAATGGCGCATAACGAAGACTTGCCACATTCTGCTATTGATGGGCACACCCTAGAAGGAGGGAGGGAGGTACGAGGGCTTGCCTTATGTTCTGCCCATGGCAGAATTGGATCCCCAGCGACGGAATCCACAGAGAGACGCGCGAGAAAGACGGGGCTCAAGTCCACGCAGCTCTCAAAGCCCTGATAAATAGAGGCAGATGATGAATCCCCAGGTTCTGGAAGATCGCATAAGGGAACAAAATGAAGTAATAAGAAGAATGACGACTAACATGGAGACTATGAAGCGCCAATAAAGGGGTGGCAGAAGAAAAGGTGGGCAAAGACAGAGCGCACTCTCGCCACTTAGAAGATCGTGACAGGCAAGTCACACCATCTCATACGGAAAGTAGAAGCCTCAGGATAGGCGACACACGGTCAAGAACCTTTAAGACTCGTTACTCCAGGTCTGAGAGAACGAGGACTGAAAGGTCATGTACGGAGGGAAGCAGTTATCAGCCTTTGCACTCGCACCAAATGACATCTAGGCACACGGAGTTGCCCAGGTTGGCGGACCTGCGTACAGTGCTAGAGGAAAGGGCTCGAAGGAAAGAAGACACTCAGACTCGCATCCCTTGCAGAGTCTCTGCGCTATAACAATTGGCTTATAGGATACGTGGGAGTGTCAAAGTTGGAATGTCGATACCACACTTTGCCTATGAACCGACAGACAAAGCGTTAGCAAGGTTACAGAGCTCGCTGTTCATTCCGGCAATTTACCCTCAGACTTCCACCAACCCAAATTCACTACTTATGAGGGGAAGTCAGACCCCTACATACACTTGAGCCACTTTCGCCAAGTTATGGCCGTGTATCGGCGAAACGAGACTCTAATGTGTATCCTGTTTCCTTCTAGCCTTGGTGACCTGGGTTTAACATGATTTGAAAGGTTGCCAGAAGGTAGCATAGCTTCATGGGCGCAACTAGCGGAGACATTTGTGACCAGATTCAGAACAAACACCAAGACGCCAGTGAAGATTGACCAGCTTCTCTCCATAGACATGGGCGAGAAGGAAACATTGAGGTCCTACAATAATTAGTATTGGGAGACTTTTAATTAGATTGGAGATTGCCTCACAAACCTAGCTATCGCACAGTACAAACAAGGTTTGTCGGCTGACAATAAATTAAGGGATTCAATGACAATGATGCCGCCTCTTACTATGAAAGCCCTGATGGAGAGAGTGTACCAACACATCTTGGTAGAGGAAGATGGGATGCGCACCAAGGCAGAGTCCAATACAAACAGCGATGTTGGACAAAACACCCTCGGTAAAAGTTAAGACGGTCGACAAGAAGGACCAACCGCACAAAAATCTTTGCCCCACTGAGGGCAAAGTGGGTTGGCAGGTTTGACCAATTCTTTCTAACAAATCTGTGCCCAACAGGGGGCAAAAAGGGTTGGCAGGTTTGACCAACTCTTTCTAAAAAAAATTTAGACTCCTTAGCCAACTGGGGGGCAAAGGCAGTTGGCAGGTTTGACCCACAAAACTTTTTTGCACCCTTCAGCCGAGATCAGAATGTAGGCTAAAGGCGTTTGACAGGTTTAACCAACAAAAAAAATTTAGACTCCTTGCCCAACTGGGGGGGCAAAGGCGGTTGACAGGTTTAACCAACAAAACTTTTTTGCACCCTTCAGCCTAGATGATCTCGGCTAAAGGCGGTTGGCAGGTTTGGCCAACAAAAAATTTTTAGACTTCTTGCCCAACTGGGAGGCAAAGGCGGTTGGCAAGTTTGACCAACAAAACTTTTTTTCACCCTTCAGCCGAAATCAGGACCTAGACTAAAGGCGGTTGGCAGGTTTGACCAACATAAAATTTTTGCACTCTTTGGCCGGGATGACAGTTACCTCGGCCAAAGCAGGTTAGCAGGTTTGACCAACAAGTTTTTTGGATTCTTCAGCTAAGATGTGTATCTCGGCCAAAAAAGGTTGGCAGGATCAGATAAGGCCAAACTAATTAGTTTAGCTAGACATGTAGTCGGAATGATGCAAAACATTGAAAAAGAAACACAGTAACCACGCCAAGAGATCGAAAATTTTCATTAATTGGAAGATGATTACAAAAGGATACATACGTTGAAGACAAAAAGGCGAGACTATTCAAATTTTTTGGATGACGACTGTAACTGGAGAACGAGGCTAATGGGGGCACGCCACATGCTAGATTAGTGGATGGACGTGCTGAGCAACTAACAAGACTTATTGAAACCGAACAACTTTTCTAGCTCAGCAGAGTTGGGCGTTCTTAGCTCGGCTGGAGGAAAATAATCCCAAATATGCTACGCAGATGGAATTAAAAGGCAATTGAGAGGGTAATTTCTGAACAAATTGGGCCAAGCTAGGAAAAGTTTTCTTTGGAAGTTAGGCTGCGCAATGGGCCGAGATAAGAGCTGATGTAGCTCGGTCTTGGGCTAAGAAGACACTAAGTCGGTCAGAGATGGGTTGTTAGGGGCTGGACCTAACTATCTGAAGGTAGTCCTTTATCGGACCGAGATGTTGTCAATAGAGAGGGACGAGCTATGTGTAGCTCGGCAGGGTGCAATTCGATAAATCGGCTTTCAGTCACATGGCCCAAACGACAGGGGACCGAGATAAGGCAGCTCAGTCAGGAATGTATATCCGAGCATAAAGGAGTTGCCATCTCACTTGGCTTGCAGTGATGAGGGTGTTTTAAGGATAAGCATTATTCTTGAGCATGAGACTCCTAGGAGGACTCTACTAAGGAGAGTTAGAATCCTACTAGGATTGTGCAAACCATCTCACTTGGCTGGTAGTGAGTAGAGTGTTATCAGGATAGACACTCTTCACTGGGAGTGTGATTCCTAGGAGGACACTTATAAGGAGAGTTGGAATCCTACTAGGATTGTGCCAGACAGAATCTATAAAAGCTCATAGCAGGACCTATGTACAGGTATCATAATTTCTGCTCTAAAAAACACAGAGCTTTTTGTCTATTGTCTATTGTCTATTTGCTGACTTAGGCATCGGAGAGGTATCCGGCACACACTCGCCGGCTAGCTCACGTTTGTGTTTTTAGATAGCAAAGTGACGACGTTTAGAGGAATGTAAACTTGATCAACACAATTATACGAGAAGATTATTTTTGTGCTCCTACACTACTAGATGAATATAATTTTTATCTCGAAGCAGGCAAGAGAGTCTGACCCTCCTGCTACCTCGAGAAAACGTATCCTTGAGGAAGGATAGCCTTCTGAGCTCCACTTCCTCATAAATGGAGTCGGTTCGGTCGCCTTTAAATAGCATGAGGAAGTAGGTTCTGTGGACCAATGACACACTGCAAACATCCCAAAGTTCAATAATTTCCTTTTGGAGACTCCTGAATTCTGAGGGCTAATTCAAAAGACTCTTCAAACTATCAAAAAATTTAAATATAAAATTGTAAACACATTGCATTTGCATCCGTTGCTAATATATATATACACACCCATATATATGCAGGTCCTAAAGGGGGAAAAGATAGGAACACACCCATTTACACTTTCAAACACACCCATAGAGAGAGTCATGGGTGTGTGTTTGGAAGTGTAAATGAGTGTGATTGTTACAAAGTTGGGTCCTAAATGGCAATTGTCAATTTTAACCAGTGTATGCCACGCATGGCAATTGTCAAAATGTTACCTTGTGCATGGGCCTTTGGGTCAGGCCTATGGTCTAGGTTTTAGGTAGTCCATCGGGCTGGACTTATGGGCCAATCCATGGGCCTTACCCTTTTGTCCAAGCCCAGCTCATATTTAAGGACTAGGCCAAGGACTAGCTCGGGCTGGACTGTGGGCTATGAACTTTTTGATGAGCCTTGTATGCACAAACCAATAAAAAGTGTACACTTTTTATATGAAAATATTCAAAATTACCTTTCCATGTACCGTTGTGTCCATGCCCTACACTTTGCCATGTTGGCATTTTCATTTTGTCTCTTACTCAAGTTGTTGATACAAGAAGAACAAAGCCATGAATCTCAGCCACTCGGGCTTAGCTAAATGACTGTCGTAAATCATAAAGTGCATTTATTATGAATCCCCATAGCATAATAGGTGTCGACTGTTCTCACTATGCTTAATTAATATGATGTCATATATAACTGATAAATGAAAAGAACACATAAAAGTTTCTCTAGCACTTGTTAACAAATTCCTGCTTTGGCCTCAGCATAAACTCTGTTGAGCCATAGTTTTTCACAGAAATATTTAAAATAAAAGCCGGAAATAGAAATAAAACTCACTGGATTATCAGCAACTTGCTTCTCTTGCTGAAGCTCAGCCTTTTCCTCCATTCATACAATGCATGTATTAACACTAGTAATATTATCATCAGTTGAAGTTCTGCCTCTCTGTGCTTCAAGATCAATAGCAGCAACACTCCTGATAGAAGATTGAGAACCTTTTCTTGATAGCCTTTCAATGTTGGCACCATAGTTCAATTCATAAACCCTTCTTCGGATATCCTCAGGTCTTCCAGTGAATTCTTTCTAGAACCCAGTTGGTGGTGTGTGCTCATTATCATTATTTTCCACCTTCTCAAACCATGGTGAATATGGGCTAGTCATCAGGCTTGCTTTGCAGCTTCTACTTTTAGTTAACTTCAAGCTTTGAGAGCCAGACATGTGCTCTGTTAATGGCCATGGAGATGGTTTTTCATGAGAATGAGCAATGAAATGGGGGATATAACTTAACATACTATCTTCCTTTAGTGGCGGTGACACGAACTCCTGATCTATTGTGTCTCCGTTCCCAGCCTCCATCGATTCAGAGATTTCAGTGCTTTGTTCAGGAGACGATGATCTATTCGATTCTTCTGCCTCTATGCATCAAACTTCCTTGCATAAATCCTCCGAAGTCCCATGTCCCAACTCCGTCCAGAATTGCTTCGGATGAACATAGAAACACCGACCAACAGCTGTGGAGAAGTATCATTCGGCACAAAGTTCTCTTCAAATTCAGGAAGAATTTGTATGCAGTGATCATCAGAGCTTCTCCCACTATGTCCATAAGAATAAAGAGATCTCTTGACTGATCTAACACCAATGTCCAAGGAGTGAGGACTTGCCAAAGAGGATGTCTCTGGTACTGGATTTTCAAATTCCGGTGACTTCCGAACTAGCAAGCGTGGGTAGTTATTAAAACCTACCTGGAGAAGTACAAAAGGAAAAAATAAATAAACTCAACTAAACAAGGCATGCCTAGATGATATGGATGCTTCGGTACAACAATTTAACTACAGTTACTCGTGTCATTGAATGTCCCTCATCCCCAACCAGTTGTAGCAAATCCTGAACCTGACATTGAGCTAAGTCTCGTTGAACAGTCAGATCTATCATCTCCTTCTCCAACTGCACAAGTAGAAAAAGTAAATAAATAAAAAGAAAATGGCATTCAACGCCTGAGCCCATAAGACAAATGCTGCTTCTTGCATGGATGGAAAAATTTGCAGCATGTTCGTGAATTATACTTCAAATGTTAGTAGCTCAAGGTGCACTCTTAACTTTCCCCAAAAATGTCATTTGAAATTGAACTTTTTAAGCCTACAGCTATCAAAAAGTCAAATAAGCAGACATTAGAAGGATTTCCATATGTGATGCCATGGTTCTTCAGATTTTTAAGCCTACTTCTTCCTTCTGCAATGATCTTGTGTTTTTTTTATCAAATCAAGACACATTAGCAAAGTATATAATTTAACAATTGAGTTAAAACTGAAGTAAAATGACATTAAAACCATAGATCCTAAAATGACATAGTTTTGTTTAACTTTAAACATAGGCCAATGGATTACTACAAGAAGTCCAGAATTCGTTGTAGAGAATCTTGACCCGGGCAACGATGGTCCACCAAATTAATTACCATTTTCTGTTAGGTTAAGTTGTTAAAGATATCCCTTACGGTGAAGTAAAAGTCAAATGAAGTATCTAAACCGCATCCTTGCAATGTTATTAAACCAAATGGTTCATCAACAGATCTCATATTTTCAAGTTGGTATTGTTCTTGAGGTGGGATTTTGTTGACATTTCAACTGGTCCTCTCTTGTAATAATCTAAGAGTTACAAAATTATTCTGCTTTTAGATCACAAAAGTCCTAAAAATCCAACCAAAATTGAAATGAGATTGTCAAAGGATTAGAAGCAAGACAAGGAATAAAGATTAGAAATGAGTAAATAGACCAAGAAAATTCTTTTTGCATGTTTCGTGCAGAACAAGAAATATACAAAAGGCTTAATATGAAAAACAGACAGTGAAAAGGAATGAAAGTCATGCAACCTAAAAGAAAAAATGGAATTAATTATAAATGATGGCGAAGGATGCACGCGGAAATAAGGGTTTAACAGCAAAGATTACACTTACGTTTGCCAAACTAACTCACTCTAGTGGATGTGATCATGTGACATAATTTAGGGAAAATTTCACTCTACCCTCCAATGTGGTTTAATCTATGTGCGGATTACTCCCTATCATTTGGAAATAATCACATAATCCCCTTGTAGTTTGTGGACTGAAGTGCACCATCAGCATTATGTCCAAGTTAACAAGTGTGAAACACATGCCAAGACATAGATGGGTTATGCACTGATTTCCAAATGTCAGAGGGATAAATTGCACATGGAGTAAAACAAGGAGGGTTAAAGTAAATTTTGTCTCCCAAAAAAATGAAAAAAATGTTTGTGGTTTGCATAATCAAGTTACTTATGTACAAGGTTTTTTAGTCCACAAACTAGAGGGGGTTATGTGCTTATTTCCAAATGACAAGGAGTTATGTGCACATAGGCCAAACCACAAGGGGGTGAAGTGAAATTTTCCCTATAATTTTTAATTTAAGATTCAGAAGTACCACATTGTGGTTTTAAAGAGTCTTGAAATTTATATTCCTCATGCAGCAATTACACATAAATTTATGAACTGTTCGATATTGAAGAGGTATTGCAATTTGATAATGAAAGCCCAATCATTACCTTTTCAATCTGAAGGCCTTTCTCTCTCAGTAATGCCAAATAATGTGATGCGACAAAGGTGGGCCCTTGACTTCTCAGATCACTCTCCAACCTAGCTAATTGTCTCTGCAGATGCTTTACTAATGCTTTATCTGATATGACTACATTAACTTGAGTGTTAGTTGTTATTTCTTTCGCACAACTTGCAAACAATAGCATATTTCTTGATTGCTCAACATGACTTCTCGCGGGGCTCATGGTACAGATGATGGCAGTTCTAGCATTGCCTCCCAACGAGGATTGCAATATGCGAGTTAGCTTAGAATCTCTGAAAGGAACATGCTCATTTCTTCCCTTGCTGCACCCAATGATAGGACAACACAAATGATAACAAAACTTGCAATCAACAAATGGTAATGTTCAGGATGAAACATCATACAATCAAACCAAAAAAAACACAGACAAGAAAAAGGAAAGGCAGGTAAAAGGATTAAAGGCACAAAATTCCCGAGAATTTAATCATTTTGGTTGATTTAAAAAGACCACAACAACAAATCTTTGACGTAATAAGATCATCATGATTACCCAAAGGAGTGTACTAGCCAAAAGTGATGATAGTAATCTGAGAGGATGTAGAGTAAAGCAGCACAACCAAGTGATTAGTCGTATGATCCTGACAACTGCATTGTCTTAATAAAATAAACAACTAACCATTACCAGCACCTGGTTGATATAAGTGATTACCAGTCAACGAATTTGAAAATCATGGGCTAAATGATGATGGTCAGAATCAAGTTTCAGTTAATCTGATGAAGATAATTCAAGTAGTCCTTGATTTTTTGCTTTAAAACAATTCATTTGGCTCTTGCTCCTATTAAGACCATCAACAGGAAAAAAAAGAGCAAAAAGTCCATGGTTCAGTGAAAGGAGTGTTTAGCTTTGCTTCAGTTCTCTTTGTTGTTCAAGCCAAGCAATAAGGCAACACACAGTTTTCACAACATAGATTAATGCAATCCTTGACAACTAGATAATGATTTTTCCTAAGTATCATTGGATTGAATTATCGTCTCTTTACCCCTTATTGTTACAGAGGGAGGTTTGAACTTTCACAATCCTTCCATGTGCTAGCTTTGAGCATCAAGTTGTGGAGACAACGTCAATGTAATATGTGTCTGTGGGCAAATTTCTTTATAGCTAAATATTGTCATGGAATTCATCCTCATTCTTGCGCTCTCCATACATTTCATTATCATATTTGGAGGAGGCTTTTTAGAAGCTAAACCTTTCACAGAAGATACCACATACCTTCTTAATATATGTTGTGTATACTTCTTCAGGGTAGTTGGCTCGGAGATGGTGCTAGTATTGACAACAAAAGTACATAATTTACCAGGTGCTGAACCATAGTAAACGATCATGAATGATGGAACTTAAATTTAGTGGAAAATCTCCTATCTTCTGAGGATCTGATTATTTTGAGTTGGTCCAAATGATGGGCATTCTTAATTGACTCTGCTCATGAGGGTGTTTATTCTCAAGGTTCCACCACATAGTACATTTTTTAACTAATTGTGGAAGTAAATTCGAATTAAAATATATTCAAGTGGAAATTATTTCATTACGTCATTGCATTTAACTTAGTGGTTGCCAAATGTTGGAGTGTCAACCTTTACATGTAAATGTGGATTAGACAGGACATTAGAGCTTATGGAGCATTGGTATCCTACTGA